GAAGCAAATTCTTTTGCTGTACATCGTAACCAAACAGACCTGAGGGATTAACCTAATCACAAGACGCTGCTACCTCCTGAGGCCTTTAATTTAAAAAAATAATAATAACTCATGCACACCTTGTGTGCCTATGTTTTACATACATATCAGGGATCCTAAAAACCCCTGATAAGTCCTCACTAACTTTTTCGATAAAAAATTGTTATTTTGCACGAAGAGATGTGAACACAGAACATAATACTAATTATCATACATTGAACTCACTATCTCTTTTCTGATTGGCCGAAGGCGTACAGTTCATCTAGCTGCAGATTATACAATAATCATGTCAAGGACACGCAAGGTCACGGGTAATCATGTCATGTATGACCACGGTGCATGATTTCTAAGGGTAATCATGTCAAGTTCGCCTGCTGTGTTGCTTGTGGTCGACGAAGAAGCAAAAACATGACTTCCATTTTTTTTTTTCGAATTCGTTCAATGTATAATAAAACAATTATTACATTCGGTTTTCGTGATATCCAGAATAATCAAGGTCTTGGTAAGGGTTTAATGGTCTATTTGCGCCATTTCTTTAGCGCCAAAATACGTCAATAATCCTCTCAAAACTACAAGCTCCCATCGCCATGTTAGATTTTTTTCGTTCCCAGCTTCTTCCACGTCACGAGCTGCGCGAAAAAGATGGTTTACCCAGAGAGTAACGCGGGATCACGTTATTCATGTACCGGTGCCCTCTTTAAGGTAAGGTAAAGTCTGCATGCGAGCCAAGTGGCCCATCAGGCCGGAGCTTATCCCGGTTTCTGTAGCATGAAGCGACTAGGAGTATTTCTACTCCCCCCTGGATGGGATGCTAGTCCATCGCAGGGTTACCCCCAACATTAAGTTCGCCGGTACCCATTTATACACCTGGGTGGAGAGAAGCACTGTGAGAGTTAAGTGTCTTGCCCAAGAACACAACACAATGTCCCCGGCCAGGGCTCCAACCCGGACCGCTCGATCCCGAGACGAGCGCAGTAACCATGAGGCCACCGCGCCTCCCGGTGCCCTCTTTAACATATCTCAATTCTTTTGAGTGATATATTCCAGTCAGTTGGGATGTCAGTCGTAACACAAAGGCTGGTAATTCAGTTTACCAAGTTCGGTCATTTTTGCGTTTAAAGGCTTGCACGCGCCTTCCAAAACAAAAATAACAATTGTTATTTTCGGATTCTACAGTTTACTATTGGCTTTATATTGATATCAGGAGTCCCGATGATATATAGCTTAACGAGGTTTTTGTTAAAGCAGTGCGCAAAGAAAGTATTTTTGAAAAGGCACCTGCTATTTGACACTCGCGCGTGAATCGAACAAAATGCACGTTTTTATACTAAAAACGCATTATCCGTCTGGAAGAACTTGGACAAACATTTGTAATTCGTCTGGTTATGCATCTGTAGTATAAAGACGGGCACAAGACGTATTATGCTTCTAGACGAACTATCTCTCCTAGTGCGTAGTTCAAGACGGATTTCGAAGGATAGTTCGTCTAGACGTATAATGCGTCTTGTGCCCGTCTTTATTCTAGAGACGCATAAGTAGACGAACGACAAATGTTTGCCCAAGTTCGTCCAGACGGATAATGCGTCTTTAGTATAAAAATGGCGAGACCGCATTATCGTTCTGAATGGATAATGCGTCCTCTAGTATAGAAACGGCCATTTTGTTTATGGATATTTCCTCGTTTTATTTGTTCAGTTTATTCGGTTTGGTTAAATGGCTTATTGTCAAATTTCTTTAAAAGTTATTGTATCGAGTGATTGATTAGTATTTTAGACTTGGCCAAATCCATAATTATATAAACCAGAAAATTTTTTGCACCGCGCAAAAGGCCTAGGTACGAGGCTAGAGCCATAGAGTTTTGCAGCACCTGTGGATAGCGGTTTTCCTTGTAAGTTTGCTTTATAAACTGTTCATTCTTTTCATTCCCTTATTTACTCTCATTCCATTCAACAAGATTGTATACTCCCTGCGGCTTTACCCGATAACATTTGGGTGTTTTAGAAGTATAAAACGAGGAGACATCATGAAAATCGCATTGTTTGTGGGTTTTATGTTCTTCTGTTCAATCTGGGCCCAAGGTAAGTGGGACTATGACAAAATGAAAGTAATTTGCGATCGGAAGCCTATTGTACACACGGATAGCTTTGATAAATTTAAGCAAACATCGGGAACCCACTGGAATGGTCATAGAATGGGTGTTTCTTTAGTATAGGATACTAGAAGACTAAGTTCTACAGTTATTCCATAATCATAAATTAAAATATCGCGTCCTATCGAAGGACGACAGTTATTTTATGATGGCTGGTTGTTGCATGGCCGCCACCCCGAACGGGTATCTGTTGACACACAGTAAAAAATGACCGATTGAATTAAGATCGTTATGGCGAATCGAAATATCACGTGAAATATAAGTGAGAAGGAAAGGTAAAAAGCCGAATGTTTGACAAAACCCTGCTTTTAGTTAACAGTGACAAGAGATCTGTTGAGCAATTTTTACTGGAAATATAAATGGGCCTGCGAAATCTGTGACTTAAATTTGTTGACATTGAATATCGTTTGCAGTCTAAGGCGAGTCATACGACATTCCTAGAACTCGCCATCGAAAATGAGGGTTTTACATGCGCATGCAGCAACAGATATTACACTACCAGCTATTACACAATTATTGAAAGTTATAGAAAGTTGTTGCTACATTGCAAGGCAGCTTCCTATTCCAGTTGAGAATGCGGACCTTTCTCTGCTGTTTCTCTGTAGTTCCTAGGCTCTGCCTCGTGGAAAGTATGTTTCCCAGAAACCTCCAACTTTGCTTCAATGTCAATAATGACTCGGCCTTTTCAAGGAAAGTCGAAATGCGGGGAAAGTCGAAGTTGTGACCCTATAACGAGAAGAGAAGAGAAGGCGGAAGTTTAGCAGTAGGTTGCTTACTAGAGTTACAACCTTCTCTTTGTGGAATTAAATGACGGCCGAAGCCAGGAAAATTCAAATACTAGGGTTTCGTACATGCACAAGAAATTAGTACGTGCTTTTTTTTTTTCTAAAACACAATTTTGCACTTAATTAGCTTATTTTATCGATTGATCGAGTGCTTTTCACTAGATCATTGATAACGTCAAAATGTGATGAGGACAAAAAAGTGGCAACGGTTTGTGTGCCACTTTTATGTCCTTACCACATTTCGACATCATCTGTGATTTATTACTGAACAGACCCACGGCAACACGGAATCTACTTGTTTTATATAATGATAAAAAAACGTTGATCATTGACGTCATCTGTACGTCTGTCCTCCAATAGATCATAAGTAAGAACCAATCAAAATGCCAGAATAGTTTGACTTATTATATAACTTAGTAAATCAGTCAAATCATACTGTCTCCACAGGTGTTCAATCTCGACAGTGTTATTTCTGCTCCAGTTCGAAGTCTTACGAAGACTGCCAAGAAACTGCTGAACTGCGAAAGTGCTACGACACCTACCCATGCCTCCAAATGTACGCAGTATTCGACAATGGATCGACGAAAGGCGAGTCGTTTTACAAAGGCTGCGCAATTTACCGTGCCTGTGAACAGCTTGAAAAAGGAAACATAACCGAGGTATGCCCAGTTGCTCACATGCCTTCCGCTGAATGCAAAGCAAAGTGCTGTTATGGAGAGGAATGCAACAAAGGAAATATTCTCGATACAGCTGGGTATGACTCCAGCAAGAGCTCAGGTAAAACACTTGTTACCAGCGGCAGTGTTCTGGGTTTGTTTTTTGGTCTGTTGTTGGCAGTTGTTAGTATCAACTACTAATCGGAACATCATATTCTGACGATTCTTATACTTGACTTGTGAACACATTAGTTTGTAATCTGGCTGAGAATATTGATATGTTGACGTTTTGGATGTTGTAGTACGATAGAGATCTTAAGCAAACAACGAAGTAATTTTCCCTGTATCAGTCAAATCGTTTTCTTCTTTGTATGAATTTATATAATCGTTTTGTTTAATTTCAAAATATAGTAAGAATTTCTTCATATTAATTTAAGTCAAGTAGCATAAAACTACTCGCTTAGATTTGCTAAATGCTATTTGCAGTGTAGTCTTAGCGTAAAACATGTAAGCATTTTATTCAATAAAACTGTAAACTGTGTGTCTTTTTAGCGTCTCTCTGCGTGAATCCATCCATTCCTATAGCAAAAAATTCAAGCCTGAACGGGATTCGAACCCATGACCTCTGCAATACCGGCGCAGCAATATAACCAATTGGGAGCTGGTAACGTACACGTGAGTTCGCAATATACCCTTAGATGGTGAAGAATGTAAGTGAAAGACCGTACATTTGAACTGCAGAGAAAGAAATGAAGACATCTTTATCATCATCGCTATGTACACAACTTAACACTCACTCATCCTCATCGGGCCCATGAGGACTCTTGGTACACAACTTAAGCAGCTGTAAAGAAAAAAAAAAAAAAGAAAAAAGAAAAAGAAAAAAAACGCCTGAATTGAAAAAAACAAACAAAACAAAACAAAACAAATAAATAAAAAATCGGGCTTGAAAGGGATTCAGGTTTAAGCTGCGAGACCTATATATAACATCTCGGCTGCTCTCCAACATAGTTTCAGCAAAGCTCGATCAAGTGAGGCAGAGCTAATCATAAAGGGATAAGTTGATATGCTCATAAAGGACCTCAGAAAAGCTTTTGACACTTGTGAAACTAGCTTGAACTTTCCCTTTTGGAAACGGAAAATAGAAACGGAAAGAGAAAACGGAACTCGACGGCGGTAAATGAACACAACGTGGGAAAAATTTACTCTGGACAACTCGCTTGGCTTGCTTGAGGGTAGAAATCTGTCACTAATTTCTGGATACCGGAGATCTGTGACAACTGGAATCAGGGGCACCCAACGGATCGTTTCGGTAAATTATCTGTTCGGAAGGCCTTTAATCCCCTCTGATTTNTGTCTGTTGTTTTCGGACTGTTGAAAATGTCGTTTTGAGTAGCGAAAAAAGGTCAGCTATCATTTTCGGAAAGGCGATAAGACCTAAAGTTTTCGGGAAATGGACAAAAAAGCCCTAATATATTCGAGAATACTCAAGTTCCCCTAGAATATCCGAACAGATAAAATTTTTTTAGTGCAACCTAAAATTAATCTACTGAGCTTTAAAAGTACTCCAGATAGCCTAAAACAGCATCTAACAGCATTAGAGAGAAAACGGTCGTTGGGTGCCCCTGTGGAATTCGGACAGACTAAGAACTCACACAGAATTTCACTTCAACGTAGCTTCATTCCTCTTCTCGACGTATATCCAAGGGTACATTCGAGAATGAATAACAGTGTAAATTGAATTGTAGTTACAATGTCGCTTGATGAATGCATTCTCGTCCCCAGAGATGCTCGTCTTTAAATGTTTCACCGACCACGTGACGAAAAGAAACGGTGATTGTTGCATCAGCTCCAAACTCTAACGCGGGGGTAAGGGGGCGGGGGAACTACTGTAGTCAAATGCCCGAGGGGATGTTGATGTCTCTGTTTGATCGATACATAACAATATAGCAACTTGGTCGAAAAAAATGCCTTTCTGGGATTTTTTTAGACAAATGTCGAGCTACTTGTGGAGCTCCTTAACTACACACTTTATTTTTTATAAGAATATATTTTATAAGAATATCGAGGCTGAAATTTGCGAATTTGTAAGATATTTTAAGAATATACCCGAGGCTGGGATTTTGAAAAGAGTATAATTTTGAGTGTTTAAAATTTGTAAATATAATACAATTATATGTTTTTCACTAAACTGTATGAAATTGTTCCTTTCTTTAAATGGCAGCACTAGCCTTATGTTTGATGCTAATAACATTTCTGAAAGAAGTTATGTGCGATGTGCGTGATATCAGGTTTTAAGGACTTTAATGCCTGCAGGCTGGCTCCAAAATTACTTTAACACCACCCAGACACCAAATACATTCGAAAACAGAAATGGCAAGAATATTCACAAGAATATTTTCAGCCTAAAATCTGCAGAAAAATAAGAATATTCAGCCTCGGCCGGAAAAAAAATTTCTTATAAAAAATTGTGTATTGTAACTTCCGAGAGTTGCGTGACGTATGACGTTTCAAAAAAACCCACTGTTGTATGGGAGAATTAACATTCTTTCATGCAGTTATGTAAATACGATTGTTATATTGCGTTGTTTCTGGCACTTATCATGCTTGACTTAATGGTGTTGTTTTCAAATTAATATCGCGGTGATTCACAGCGACAGTCCCGTGACATTTTCTGCTGCAGCCTTAACCCGGTAGAAACCATTCATTCCGGCAGAATGAACTATTGTGTGACATTTCGATAAACATTTGCAATTTCCTGCAATTTTCGGAACTCTAAGGCTTTTGAATTGTCAAACGTTGTCAAGTTTTATTCAATTTTCCTTTCTGTTACTCTTGGATCAGTTCCACATCCTCATCAGACTGTCATGCGAAGTCGTTTGTCTCGATCGACTTCCGGTGATCTGGGTGTGTTATTCGTCATATCCTGTATCGGAAAAAAAGCTCTCACAGCATTTGGCCGAGCATACCGTATTTAGATCTCTCTGCGTTTGAGGAAATGAGCTGCTTCGAAATCGTGGGACAGAACTAAACGACATGGCTGGAGTGAAGTTCTATTCAGTGGTGTTTCTACTGATGCTGACTTCAAAGATCAGCTTTCAAGGTATGTCAAATTGCGACATAACTTAACATTCACTGCACGATCACGCACACAAATCTTGGTTATGCGATGCGTAATAAAATCGGATGGAAATGAAATCCTACACTGTTCGTTCACCGATTTCGCTAAAACTATAACATAAAAACATCTGTCTGTAATACGTTATCATGCCATTCAATGTGCTGTACATTTGTCGGACTTGAAAGTTCTCGGGCTTGAAAGTTCAACGTTGGCTGCACTCAAGGTTGCTTCACAAAATAGCATAACACATGTGAGCTTAATTGTTACTCCGTTAATTAAGCAGTTATATGAAAACTTCTCGAGCTGACAAATCAGAGCTATTAAAAACTTTATTTGAATGATTAGGAGGAAGACATTTTTTCCTCCACTGCCTTTCATCATGTTTATGTAATGGCATCCCACTATTGTGACTGTCTGCTCTGAGTCTTTGTTCTGAAAATCATTGAAGCATGTCGAAATTATAATCTTACGATAACAACTTTTTAAAATTCGGTTCAATTTGTCAATCGTCACTCCGAAAGAAGGTTGTTGTTAGTTTTAAAAACGTTTCGTGTGGAGGACAATTGCCATAATCCTTGCCTTCTTAAATACCATGTAGTCTATGGTTCTCTTAGTACGTGCTGACTTTTCATCCACATTCAAGCAAAACTAGTTGTAATGCTGAAAGCTGAAGGAAGGCGCTATATAAATAATATGGTCCTCACTGGTATCATTCCTGCGTGCATTTGAAAGTATTTTTCGTCCGGAAGTATTTTTGCTTTGTTTTTGAACAGTTGGTTTTCGTAGTCTTCGGAGAACGTGTGATAACGTTTTTGTAAACCCAGCAAAATTGTGCGCTGGGAAGTATGTAAATTTCCTAATTGAGAAATGTGACAGGATTTCAAGTTATTATTCATGCATGTCAAGCTTCTATTTATGGTCTGGTGATCTTCATTTGCAGTAGTAATAATAAAAGCTTATTCTGTCAACGTAATCGTTTTTTTTTTCCTCACTGCGTCAGTTACGCTATTCATAGTGCCCTCATCACGCCGTGTTTTAGTTTTTGTTCATTTTCAGTTTGCGGCATTGATACGATTCAGGGGAATTGTTATTAATATTTTTTCTTTTGTTCTCAAAAGACTGAGCTTTTCGAAATTTGGCGAAATTTGGGATAGGCTTTGTTGTTAATTTGTTCGTTTGTTTCAATGGTTGTGGAGGAGGTGGAGAGGGGGGAGGAGGAGGAAGGGGGGAGCGGGGGGGGGGGGAAGAAGGCGGGGGCCTATTATCCGACGGAAGTTTAGAGAAAAAATAAACAGCACGATTGCTTAATTAGGTAATGAGCTGAGTATTAGCCGAACAATTTGAAATGTGGCGCTGAAATCAGCAATGTATTGTTGTCCAATACGAAGATCAAAACTCCATTACAACCGAACTCTTGCCAGTGTCTTCGCTCGGAAGGCGGTGGAATACGGAACGGCTTACCTGAGAGGGCGAGTCATCGGCGTGGAGGGGGGGGGTGGGGGGAGGAAGCCTGTATCCGGGGATAATTTCCAGAAGGGGCTTTAACAAGGCACTTTTTGCCCTCAATAACACAGAACCACATGCAGACTTCCGTTGAATGTGTCGCACGAACTTTAGAGAAGATGAATCAGTTTTCGTTCTGTTTCTTTTTCAGACATAGTTGATCACAGAGGAAAAGAGTTTGTGGTTAGTTTCATGCCGCAGCCCGGACGATCACCCATCAACATGGGTGGAACAAATAACCTTTACATCTCCAGCTTTGAGGACGTTCAAGGTCGTGTCCATGTTCCCGCCCTCCTGCAACAGTCCGACACACTGTTTAACTTGAAAGCTGGAGGAATTCAAAAAATTACACTACCCGGAAGTACGCGGACAATTGGGTCCACTGGGATCGAGAAAAAGAAAGGTATACGGATTACTGCGAATAAACCCATGTCAGTGCAAGGACTGTCAATCTTGAGTAGGACGAGCGAAGGGTTTCTTGGGCTGCCTGTGGACACTCTCGGAATGTACTACATTGTTCCGACCTTTTTCGTGGCAATTAACGCTATCGTGCAGGTTGTAGCAACGGAAGATAACACTTTTGTATCTTTTGAGTTACGGCTTCCAAGGAATGGTAGAGTTCGTTATGGTGAGGTGAGGTATGTAAACGGTGGCCTCATCAACGATACTTTGAACGAGTTAGATGTATTTCAAGTGCTGGGCGATTCTGATCTCAGCGGTACTATTGTGAGGTCATCGAAACCAATCGCTGTGTTTTCTGGTAACGATTGTGCCATGGTGCCAAAGAATCGACAGCCATGCAATCACTTAGTGGAACAGATCCCCCCTGTTAGCAACTGGGGGTTAGAATTTATAACTAACCCTACGCCTAACCGTCAGGGGGGAGATGAATTTCATGTCATAGCATCAGAGCAAACTACGCTTGTCCATGTTGACATGCAGTACAAAACCATGCTAAACGAAGGAGATAAATATATCATTGAAGCACCTTGGAATATTTCTTTAGTCATATCAACTTCTCAACCAAGTCTTGTTGTACAATACTCCAAAGGAAGCGACACACTCAAGTTGAGTCCATCCATGAGTTTAGTACCCCCCCAAAAATGGTACTCAAATGATTACACAGTTTATGTTCCTAAAGACGATACTGGCAACGCTTTTGATAGTTACCTAAATGTTGTCATAGACACCAGATTTCGAAGTGGTCTTCGTGTAAAAGGCGCGGATGATCTCGGCATCGACTGGAAAATTATTTCCGGAGGTTTCTCTAGAGCTTCTCTACACCTCGCCAGTGATGGTGTGTACCATGTTTATTACAAGAATCCACTGGCTAATTATACGTTTTCAGCTGTTCTGTACGGTATGGCTTCACAAAAATTATTTTCCTTTCCAGTCGGCATGAAATGGCTACAGCCATTAGATTGGGACTGTTTACCAACGAACACAACAGGCGGTGATAAAATCGATAACGACTGCGATGGCGCCACAGACGAAGAATTAGCCAATGGCGTTGACGATGATGGTGATTCTCGCATCGACGAAGATCTTGCCACGCCAAAGCCTAACTTTAAAGTACCGAGAGATTTCGTGACAACGCCTTTGCTGTCGTGTAGCGGGGCATCAACTGTAGCCAACACGGGAATTACAGGCGTTGCAACCGGCTCGGCACAAGGCGTCTGTAAAATACGTGGGGGACAGACAGTCATCTCCCACAAAGACAGCATCGTAAGTCCGCGGCAACAATGCGAGCATGTGTTTAAGCGCGTGTGGACTATTGAAGACCCTTGTGAAAATGTTCTCTCGCTTAGCCAGTTTATAAAGATAAGCACACCGCAAGATCCCGTAATCGCTTTTCCAGACGACACGGCTTTCACCTGCAGGCGTAAGAAATATCTTGTTCCAGAGTTTACTGGAAACGTTCAGGTGACCGCAAGCAAGTGTCCTAGAAACGTGACAGTCACTCACCGCGATTCATACAGAGGCGACTGCTCGGACGAGGTGGGGAGACTGGATCGAGAGTGGACGGTTGAAGACAAGTGTACACAAAGTAGAAAACAAATACAGGTTATCCAGCTTTTACCAAAAGGTTAGTTCTGTGTTAAAAATGTAACTGAAAAATTAAAGCAAGAAGTTTTACATCATAAGATTACTTGAGATGCACAAGGGTAAGATAGCGCGACTCAAAGAGACGGCTGAAATTCTTGCTATGTGTAAAAAGGCCTCGTTGTAGTTGCCCGGGGGGTCTCCCATCTAAAAAAGACGGGGGTGCTCGTCGGAAATTTTGAAAAGAATCCCTTAGAGGTACCAAGATCTTGTTTTGTGGGCGCGGCTTGAAATGTTTTTCACCCCTAAGAGATACCAATTCTTAAACAACACATTATCTCCTGATGTGAAGTATATATGAAATAATTCACATTATCTCCTGTCATAATTTGTCGGCTCAGTTCCCTAAAAGGTCCCGCAAAAGCTCTCGCTGTGGAACTTTTGAGGCTGAACACTCTAAGAGGCACCAAAACTGCGTTTTTAACCCCTGAAATGTACGACGAGCACCTCCGCCCTTTTCATACGGGAGTCCCCCCCCCCCGCCGGGAGTACTTGCTACGTTTACTCAAATTTCTGAATTCAGATTTTACGTCCTTGTAGAGGCTTGCTCTTTGAAGGATGAAGAGAAGCAGGGGCGGGGTGGGTAGGACAGATTAATTACGTGATTAAGATACGACCACAAACTAGATATTGAAACTGGTTTTCTAGTGCGGATTCTGCTGAAAAAGAAATCATCAGAGTGGCGCTTTTCGATATTAAACTACATTAGGACCAGGAGCCATTGAGGCTCCTGATTAGGAAACATTCTGGAATCTTCATGAATTACCAATCCGTAAAAAAACATAAAGCTAGCATTTGTTTGTTTGTTTGTTTTTTTTAAAATCTGTTTTGATTTGTACTTTTTTGTTTAATCTAAACGTTGTCCTTTGCTTTGTTAGACTCCAGAAGGACAACTAACTTCGTAGTGTCATTCAGGGTAACAAGCGAGAGATTTTCGGCAGGACTTAAAGACAAGGAATCCCCGTCCTTCAAATCTTTGTCGGACGGTTTAGAACTCGAGGTACAGATTATTATGCTCCACGTTAACGTGTTTTCTAACTTATATTCCTTCCGTTTTCCCGCCTCTAAACTCCCAACGTTCCCGGAGTCTCTCTCTCCCAGCCCCAGAGGGCGGGAATATGAAAGAAACTGGAAACGAGGTTGCTTAACTCCTTGTCAGCAGGAGAGCATGAAGCTAGGAGAGTGGTCACCTGTTGCACACAGAGACTGACCTCTGAGTTATTTTTAGATCATCATTGTCGTGATAAACTCTTTGGGGATAACTTAGTCCGACAAAGTAATCTAAACGTATTTTGCCATTCTGCTCAGTGGTTAGAGCAGCTGGCTAGATCACGGAGGGTCGTGGGTTCAAATCCCATCTGGAAGTCGGATTTTTTTCCAAGTTGATGCTATTTCTACATTTAATATTTTGGACTGTCTTATATTTAATCCTTTAGGCTCCTCATGGAGCAAAGGGTGTCACAATGCTTCGCCAGCGGACTCTGTTCTCAAATAGAGTCGAAGGCTAAGTTTGTTTTTTCTTCAATAACTATTTCTTTTTCGTAGTTAGAGAAAACATTCACTCAATCAAAGTCAAACTTTGGACGATTCTTTGTAGCAGCTACAACGCTATCTTTCAGGTAAGCTTCTAGGATTTGCTAATGTTTTTTTTTGTTCTAAATCCAACGTTATGTTGTCAGTCTACACTGCAGAGTTGCGAGGGCAACGGATCCCCAAAAGTAGTGACCCCAACGGAAAACAACGTTAAAACTTCGTAAACTTTTAGGATTTCGCCAAAAGTTTTATTATTCCTTTTCTTGCGGTGACTAAAAAAGTTTGCCGTCTTCAGATGTTTTTAATAGCGGCTAATTTTACGTGCTGATTGTATGTGTTTCACAAATGACACGGTTGAAGTTATACGGTAAAAGTCAGGCGAAACGTTCGTTTAATTATTGGCTTTACCTGATTAACCTTTCGCTTTTTTTGTTTCTTCTTGCCAAGCAATGGTAGTGTGGTATCGAGCATGCTCATTAAGATAGACGCGGAGGCTCAATTCGATCAGCGGCAGCTGGTTGCCTTCATAAACACCACCCTGAAAAGTGGCGCTTTGGGAAAATATCAAGTGGACCCCAGCTCAGTTCAATCCACAGGTACACTCTAGCCTTTTGTTTTTGTCTGCTCGTTTCGTTATTTCCAGCTGCTGTATTTATGTGCTCTTCTTGCGCTGTTTTTATTATTTTGAATTTATCTGACTGCGTAGCATTCGTCCAGAATCAAAGTTCTTTAGAGAGAAAAACGAAAAGGTGTTCCTTAGATTCTTTACTTTTGCGCAATTTTTTTGTCCCCTTGTAAAAAAAAAAATATATATAGCAATATACTTTTCTTTTCCAACGGCGCTCAGTGAAATGAAATAATTGCCACGTTTTTTAAAACCTTAATTATATTGGTTTTCTCTGTCCGTTGTTTTTTTTGTAACCTATATTTTTTGTGAGGTAGAGAAGACAAGTACAGACACCATGACGATATATATATCTTGAGTCTCAATTTTCAAGACTCGATGCCTGACTTTTTATAGATAGATTCAAGGACAATTAAATGCTATTTAGTTTTTGGTAAAAAGGATTTATAGAGCACTTTAATTGAGCGAATCGCGCGGCCTACTAAGGTCTACTAATGCAAAATAACAAATTGACGTCAGATTTTTATGCGTCTGTCCCTGATTGATGATAAATTGCGTCATAACATTGTCAAAGTGGCTGTGGAACCACGAGCCGCTGGCGAGTGGTTCCGCAGTAAACTTCAATAAGAGGACAGACGCCTAAATAACTGACGTCAATTTGTTTTGTACAATAACAAGACCCCAAAATGGTCAAATGCCGGGAATAAATGAGGAGAAAAGACGCCGTAAACTTGCCGTTAACATAGATAAGTGAATTTTATTCAGAACGACGCGAACATTGTCAATAACTTTTCTCGCTTTTTGATTGGCTACTTAAAAAAGTCCATAAAATCTCATTGGTTAGAACGTTGAGAGTTTGACAGCTGAAAGTTGAACTTGAAAGCTTGCATAAATCTTATCCGTCTGTACTCTTATTGATGATAAAAATGAGCCAATCAGCGCGCGAGAAATTAGACAGTTACTGTAAAAACTACATTCAAGTGATGATGTTTTTACAAATATACTTCATGTATGTTGCACATATCCTCTCCCTTTTTGATGGGGTGTTGTTTTTTTACACTTGAAACAGACTTTGATGAATGCCAAGCTTCTGATCTCAACGAGTGCCACGAGAAAGCAAAATGCACCAACACCCTTGGCTCGTATAATTGTACCTGTCTTGATGGATATTTTGGTGATGGTGTACTCTGTCAAGGTGTGTTTTGGTATCAGTCAGGAGTTATCACAGTTTTGTGATATAGCAGGGTTAATGTTGTTGAAAAGTTCTCTTCTTTATGAGAAGTCATGATAAAAAAGGGATTGGAAATCAAAGATTTACCGTTGACGATTTGATTATTTATTCAAGAGTGAACAACGTGACCGACTCAACATGACGTGACCGGTCAACATGACCCGCGACAATCTCGTTCCCAGAGTCTTCGTTCCCCTTGACCAGCGGTCGGAAAACGAGAGCTCAGGGAGCAACCATTTTGAAATAACCAGGAGATAACCGAATTCTGGTGATTCTGCCCATCCGGTTTCACTGCGCTGTCTGCATCTATGGCGCATGCATGAAATGGTTGCTCCCAGAGTTCTCGTTTTCCGACCGCTGGTCAAGGGGAACGAAGACTCTGGGAACGAGATTGAACCCGCGAGTGAAGTATTTGGCCGGTCAAGTCACCATTCTGGCCGGACATTGTCCGTTGACCGGCCGCTATTTTGAACCCTGGAACGCGCTGGTAGATGAATCACTGCGTAAAATATGTCACTATCATCAGAATGTGCCGCAGCATTACTATCTTTTACATACCCTAGTCACAGTTTTGTGATATAGCAGGGTTAATATTGTTGAAAAGTTCTCTTCTTTTTGCGAGGAAATGAGTTGTTTGTTTTAACGCAGATTTGAAAATGCACGATAACCTGAGGGGAAGGGAATGTGTTTTTTTTATAATGCCTTATGCCTTCTCTAGCTTATTATTAACTCTGAAATCCCCACTGCAATCAGCAACCACTCCAGTCGGCATTTCGTCCCGTGTTCATTGTGCCCCGAAACAATCCCATAAGTGCTTGCAAAGACACTTGAGCACTAGACCTTCAATGATTTTAAAAGTGAGCCATGGGCCACGGCAGTATATTAAGACACTTAATCGTTATTCTTTGTGTTCTTTCGCATTCGCACTCCATCACTTTGATTGCTCGTTTTGTTTTAAGAGTGACATTACAAAAGAGTCCAACTAACGTGACAAAGCCCTTTTAACATTTGACCTCTATTTTTAGCCCCACCTTCAATCTACTACGTTGATCCACCAACCGAAACTGGCACTGAAGAAAACGTGACACTCACATGTCACGCTAGTGGTCTTCCACTACCAACATTCAGTTGGATAACACCCGACGGTCACGCTGTAAACGCGACAGCTCCATTTGGTGAAAGTGAAGACCTTGATGATGGTAGTAAAAGTAGAAGAGGGAAAATTCTTCAACAAGACGGTTCACTCTTGATCTTTAACACCCGTGATGTTGACCAAGGTGTTTACAAATGTGTGGCAATCAATGTCATGGGACGGGATGAAAGGAGAGTTAACCTTACCATCAAAGAAGGTAAAAATGGAATACCTCATTTGCCATTTTGAAACAATTTAGACATTGACTAGAGTCACGCGTTCCTCCTGCATGGGGGAGGAAAGATTGCGTGACGATCCCAACGAGAGTCTCCGGAGGAGGCGTGGCGCAAGTTAAAAAGAAACCAGATGGTCAAACCTCTACATTGTTTTACATACCTAAGGGCTCGGACAGAAATACATGAACACAAGCTTGGATGCATTGCAGTCGTTTTTGCTGAGCAGGCGTTATCGCGTATCGTGACCATCTTTGGAGTCACAAATGACTCGTGTTGGAAAGAGAGAGCGAGGACTCGCTCCTACCCCCTAGGGCGGTTTTGTCCTCTCTCCCTAAGCCTCCGCTGTCGTCACACGCTCGATCAAAATGCACTAATTCGCTAAAAATCCGACTGCTAATGACACCCCCAGAAACTACGGGTAAAATGTAGACAATAGTTAAGTTCTCGAATTGTAAACAATTATTTGATTCTCCCTTGTTGAATTATAAATTTAATTAAAGTAACCGATTTATTAAAGGGAGTTATTTTAATAGTTATGTTAACAATTCCATCATTAGACCTGGTAGGAGTTGATGTCGCTATTACCATCGAGGACGAAGTGTTTGACAAAGATTTGGAAAACAAGTCTTCAATAAGATACAAGAAAATAGAAAAGCAACTTGAACAAGAGGTAAGAAAGTAGGAATGAAAATGAATCTTCGAACGAGAAATGTTTTCTTGGGAACAATAAAAGAAATGTTTCAGTTATAAATTGCAAATGTTTATCGCTTCATTACTTACACACGATACAAAAAGACCAGTTTCGTTTTTACCTTAAATAAGTTAATACTTTGTTTGTTTTTCCCCTGCAGTTAACTGCGTTGTTCCAAGACATTGAAGGATTCGAAAAAGTTGTAATTCTTGGATTCTAGTGAGTGTAAACTGTCTTTGGCATTGCTAGCTACAGACCTACTCATATTTTGTTTCATTTGCTTTCTTAAGGAAATTTGTGCCATTTTGGGTTAAACGGTAATTGCCCCATATCCCTTTTAAGGTCGGCACTCACACAATGGGAAAATGGTGTGGGGACGTGAAGTGGAGACAAGCTCCTTTCATGTGTACGCATAGGAAGCGTGTTGCAGGGACAGTATGCAAGCAGGTGAACACGAAGCGGATATTGGCTCATTTCTATGTTGCAACGAGGACAATTTGCGAGAGCAGTGCACGCAATGCGACATTGAAAAATGAGTTCACTTTGTCCCTGCTTCATGACGCACAAATTCAAACCGGCTGAATTCCATGCAACACTTTGCGTGACCAAAATGTTTTTTGCGAAAGAGTTATGCGGGGACAAAAATTTGCGCCCTCGACAGAACTTTTTCACAAAAACAGACATGTTACACGAGGGAAACTGTCGCTGAAACATGTCCCCGCTTTATGTCTTTGCAAAATTTCCCCTAGTGTGTGCGACCTTAATGAACTCCTAAATATACGCTTCTGACTGATATATTGGTTGGTTTCAGTAATGGAAGCGTCAAGGTACGTTTTCGAGTTGTTGTTAAAGTGGATAAAAGTGAAGACAAAGAACCTGCGGTGATCGCCAACAAAGTTGGTAAAACGCTCAGAAATAAAGTGGAAACTGGTCAAATAGGCAACCTTAAAGTCAAGCCAACCGTTGAGTTAAGAGGTTTGTGTTGTGGTATTGATGATGTTTCGCTCGTTCGTTGGTTGATTGAATCGTTCGTTTATTGAATCTTTCGTTGACTGATCGATTCATTGATTGATTCCTTCGTCCGGTTCGTTTGTTCGTTCATTCAGTTCGTTCGTTCGTTCGTTCGTTCGTTCGTTCATTCAGTTCGTTCGTTCGTTCGTTCGTTCGTTCGTTCGTTCGTTCGTTCGTTCGTTCTTTCGTTCATTCAGTTCGTTCGTTCGTTCGTTCGTTCGTTCTTTCGTTAGTTCGTTCATTCAGTTCGTTCGTTCGTTCGTTCGTTCGGTCCTACGTTCGTTCATTAATTAATCCATTCATTCAGTCACTCATTAAGTTTATCATTTCTTGCTCTGACTCATTCTAATTCAGATTTATTCTATCCTTATCAATTCAGCGTTTATTTGTTTGTTTATTTACATATTTCTTGAATGTGTTTGTTCAATTTTGCATTTCAGAGCTTCCCCCACCACCCGTTAATGTCCAGTCAGCCGATGTCAAACAAACTGAAGCAGTTGTCACGTGGTCACATCCTGAATTTTCCGACATGTATGCCATTAGTAGTTACTCACTGCAAGTAAGAAAGTTTGCAACAAAGAAGTGGTCACAGTTCACCACCACGCGAGGCGAGAACCACAGGCTTACCGACCTAGATCCTGATACTGTTTACTTTGTACGACTCAAATCTGAAAACAAGTATGGAAAAGGAAAACCCAGTGATAGTGGAGAGCTGCGAACTGAGAAAGGTATGTTTCAAACTTTGTTTCTATGTGAAGGACATAAACTTATTCACTAAGTCACGTGACATCGAATGTTTCTTTTGATTTTAATTTATTGTTTATTTTCATTTTTGTAGTTGAAAAAAAGTCTGCTTATGCAATCAATGGTTCTTCCCCTAAATTCAACAACACAACTGACCAAATGAATCCGTAATAATTCGACTATTGCATGGGCTATGTCACTCCATATGACATGATACCTGATGTAATTGTTTGCGATGTATAAAACCCTCTTTAAACCACGAAAAACATGAAAATTTGAGGTTGAATTTTTTAGATACGCCGTCCATGTCATTGAAGAATCAAATTTAACGTCTCTTTCGGAAAGCAGCCAGGTTTTTCAATCTGTTTTTGGGACCAACGTGGCTTTGAATGAAGGTTATACATCTGACTAAAATGTAATTTTTCTTGTCAACATAAAATATACCGTTGAGAAATAGAGTGATCTTCGGAAATCTTCGAAAGTCTTAATACATGCCATCTTCGGAATATCTCGAGTGGTGATCGGAAATCTTCGGAAGGCTGCGTTATAACCGGTGAATAAAGTGATATTGTATCAGTTCACTTATTGTATGAAGTTATTCTTACAGAAAGAAGTGCAGCGGAATTGGCCTTAGCTATTGTTCTTCCATTGCTGGTATTGATAATACTGGCAATCGTAGCAGTGATTCTGTACAGAAGATGGAAAAAGAAAGGAAAAAGGACAGGATACCTAGCCACTGACGAGGAAGTACCCATGAATCCAATCACCACAGAACCGGTCAGTCAGTAACAACATTCTGTTCTATCTGCAGTTTTTGCTTCTGTACTCTACTGTCCCAATAGCTCACTGCCGTGTTGCCTTTAGGGCCTTCAAAGACTATTTGTCATCGACAACTAAATGTTATCGTCAACTAATTGTGTCCGATGTGGGCATTCCAACATTAGAGTGTTAGTTGTCGATAACTAAGTCAGGCCAGCCAGAGCTTGGGAACTAACGTTCACTGAGCATGCTCATAATACAATACGCATGCTCAAATGTGTCATGTTTCGTTAGTTGTCGCCCAACCCACACACGGTAAAAACGGTTAAAATATATTTGCTGACAACTAAGCAGTTTCCTTTTTCGAAAAGGGAAACTGCTTAGTTCTCGACAACTAAAAATTTAGCGTTTAGTTCTCGCAACTCATCTCACACATAACGTTTTTTAGTTGTCGATAACATGTAGTTTTCGTCAGCTAAATTACTAGTCTGTGGAGGCCCTTAAGTCTCTCTGTCAAAGCGAGGCCTGGTACACAACCATTCATATCATGTTGAAAATGAGTTTAATTTGCTTGTGAATGAAACCTCATCTTCATATGAAAAGATGGGCACCAAGACTCCCTTTGAGAAAGAGGTTAAAGGTAATTCGGAAATGGCCTATTAGCACAGCAGAGCGAAACACTTTTGATACCAATAAGGCCTTTATTATTTTCTTAAAGTCTTGTCTGAAACTGCGAGGGACACTGTTGCTGCAACTATCACTTGTATAGCTAACACTAAATAAATAATAAGTATTCTTTCTCAATTGAAGCAATATCCTCATTTTAAACCAATATTTTCATTTTAAACACCTTGCTTGGCTTTACACAGACATTAGTAACCATTGCTAACCAATGTGATTCTTTTGAGCTTTAAGATGTACTCTGTCTTGTAAACAAACTATCGCAACCCCTGTTATGTTTGGCACCAGCCTTCAACAGGAAACGTTGTGCCTTAAAACTTATCTTTTGAAATGTTCTCCTTTTTCATTCTAGCAAAATCAAGTAGAAGCCACGAATGATCGATTCGTGACCTTTGGACGAGAACGTTACGCCCCAATCCCCGGTGAAACAGCGGACGGCGCCAGAGCAATGCAAATTCAAGCCTCGTTTGCCTGGCGCGAAATACCACGTGACCGCCTTACTCTTGGGAAGATTCTCGGAGAGGGCGAGTTTGGAATGGTGGTCAAGGGAGAACTGACTGAAGATGACGGTCACGTCACACCATGTGCTGTTAAGAAGCTGAAACGTATGTTCATTGATCTTATGTTAACGTCGGTTGCTGTCGCCTTGTTGTTTCAGTGGTGTGTTATCATATATAGTGTGCCAATAGTGAAAGCAAAGTTAGTGAAAGGCACAGTCATAAGTGTGAATTCTATAAGTGCAAATTTTTTTGACAGAAACCTTGTGGTCCGGTTTAGTTCAAAATTACTATACTAGTGGACAGGAGCGATAAAAGGGCTGCTATATATTAGTTATACAACGCTTTCGAGTGGTATATCATGGAATATTACACGAGCCTTTAGGCGAGTACGTATACCAAGGACAAGTAACAAGCGGGGTATTCCATGGTATACCAAGAGAAAGAGCTGCATAACTATTTTACACCATGCCATAGAAAATACAGTGGCCAACACAATCAATGCGGAAAGGTTTGGAGCAATACCATCGAGTGTACAAACGGCTTTTCTGTATTCTGATTGGCTGTGCAGTATTTTCTATAGTATGGTATAGAGTGAGTTACGCATGCTCAAGGTTTTGATCTGAAATTGAACAAGATGAAAGACTTTTTCAAATTGTGTCGTTGTGTCATGGAAAAAAATCCCTTAAATTGATTTCAATTTGTTTTCCGCAGACGGAAAGAACGTTTTGGTCGATCTAAATTCAAATTTAGTTCGACGTTTGACCCAACGGTCGAGCTTTACCCGTTTGGATCGACTCAACTTGAAATTTAGTTCGTCTCATGTGAAGTTCGACGTTTGACCTGGGCCTAAATGACTGAAATGCAAAACCAAGGGAAATGGTTTTGAGCTCAAAATAACGGGGAATTCGAAATAACCAAGTTCGAATGTGCGGGGTCCAGCTGTAATGTAATCCAAAACTTGTTGTCCTTACTCACATTGCAGGTACTGCTACAGAGAGTGATTTTAAAGATTTGCTGAATGAATTAGAGATAATGACGTCGGTGGGTAATCACCCTAATTTGGTCAACCTTATCGGCGCATGCTCAACTGAAGGTGAGTCAGATATAAAAAAGGACCAATCTCGTTCCTCGAGTCTTCGTTCCTCACTGCGCAATTGCGACGAAACGAACGACTCTCGAGAGTTCCGTTACAGGTTCGATTTTAATTGGTTTTAAACACACCGGAAAGAAGCGGGAGTAGAACACTAGCGTCCCAATCGAGCCACGTGTTTGTCAGTTAGGTATGCGCAATTCAACCGGAAGTCCGATATTTTCGGTCTTCTAACCAGAACTTTTCAGGGTCGCTCGTTTTCCGACCGCTGGTCAAGGTTGAACGAAGATTCTGGTTACGATTTTTGGAAAATAAAACAGAACAGAGTGAACTCTGGTAAAATGTAAAAAAATTCAATAACAAAATCCTTTAAAGGACGTATTTAAACAAAAACGATGAGCTTGTCTCATTAGGTAAAGTCTGCATACAGTCAAGCCAAGTGGCCCATCAAGCCGGCACTTATTTCCGGTTTCAGTAACATTAAGTCATTAGACTAGGAATATTTCTACTCCCCCCTGGATGGGATGATAGTCCATTGCAGGGTTACCCCCAGCATTAAATTCGCCGGTACCCATTTATACACCTGGGTGGAGAGAGGAACTGTGAGAGTAAAGTGTCTTGCCCAAGGACACAACACAACATTATGTCCCCGGCCAGTGCTCGAACCAGGACCGCTCGATCCGAAGGCGAACGCACTAACCATGAGGCCACCGTGCCTTCATAGCTTGTCTCATTGCATGGTTCCAATTACAGCCACAGTCGGTCTGTGGCTACGATTGCCTTAGGGTTTTAACACTTGTCTCAAAATCTTTCAACATTTTTTGTGTCCTAAGCAAGTCGGTAGACTTGATTTACACGAAACAACTCGTGTCGAAGACTTGTCATAAGGTGCAACCAACGTTTTGCCGTGTATATTGCCCCTTTGTGCCGCAATTGGGATTTCAGACCGCTGGGGCAACCAATCAGCACAGTCCTTTTCGTTATGGACGAGCTTGTAGTTAAATACAGTGAACAAAATATTTGCTCTCAAAATGTACTTTTCTCTCTCTTTATAGGACCGTTGATGATCATCGTGGAATTTGCCGAACACGGCAACCTCCTACGTCATCTTCGTGATCGCCGAAAGCAAAATTACGAAGACATGAACGAATACAGCTTAGACATAAGTTCCGCGGAGAGAGTGAGGATAGCTTGCGACGTGGCCGACGGAATGAAACATCTTGCTACGATGAAGGTACGTCAGCGTTGTTGTTTTTGGAAAACAATTATTTTATCACAGCCTAGTCCGTTGTACTTCTTCCTTTCGCATGCAAGCGCGAAGTACATGCGAGAGCCTGGTAACAGGTGTATATCACTCAGTCGTGTTGTGACATTTGGCGCCAAATTGAGTGAGCGGGAAGAGAAGACCTGGGTACTAGTATCCTTTGATTCTGGTCAAACCTCGTGATTAAGGAACTTGAATAACGGAAATTAACTGAGAGCAGGCAAATTTATCATTACTTTGTAATTTGTACTGCAGTGTAAATTAGTGCGCACGCGCTCATAATTTTCTCAGTCATTTAATGAATAAAAATCGTATGAAAGCTCAGTCGGGCAACTAGTCAACTGAGCCTAATGGCTCAAGCAATTTTCTTTATCACTCTTAAAGGGGCTCAGTCACGGTTTGCGGATATCGAAAAGTTTAGCGTCAATTTTTCAAATTCGTCGTTTGTAATCCGTGTCAATCTTCTCCTTGTTCCTTTATGGTTTATCATTTTCTCTTTGGTGTTTTTTTTATCTTATTAAACTGTTATTTTCAGGTTTCCTGCCATTGAAAGGTTATTTTGTATGTGGCCAAAATAACTCAAAATACCGTGACTGAGCTCCTTTTAGTATATTTCCCTGTCGCCATGGTATACAGATGTTTTAATAACTTTTATTTTTGGTTGCAGTGCGCTCATAGAGACTTAGCCGCGAGAAATGTTCTTCTCGGAGAGGGAATGGTAGCCAAAGTCTCGGATTTTGGTCTGTCACGTGATATCTACACCGACAACGTCTACGAAAAGAAAACCGCGGTAAGAAGATCATCTATAAATCGCTCTCATGATTGATGCAATGATTGATTATTAGTTAACTACATGAAATTTAAACAGCTCAGTGTATTAGTCACAAACGTGTACACGTATTGCCCCGGTTTCCTTTATTCCAGCATTTTTGGCGCGAAAGGAATAACGTGACGTTAAACATACGATATAGATAGGTCATAGTTTGCAAAGTGATTGTGTTACACTCGAGGCGAAATAAAGAAGCGAGTTGTTCAGTCGACAAGGAGAACGTTGGTTCACTACGAGTGAGTACTTGATGAGTTTCTGTGTTTTCTTTTACAGGAATCGCTAAGCTTCAGAGACATAATTGTTTGAATCGGATATTATCATTTTATATGTTCAAACATTCCAGTGGAACATGAGGCTGCCTGGCTCCGCTAGCCTCTATGGTTATTCCAGGCAGCCAGTGCTCTAATTTCTAATTTCTTTTTTTCTGTAATTAGTACAAGGCAAGAGAGAGTGCAAATAGAGATTGTTGTTGTAGCGTGAACGATGGTGAAATTTTGACGTAGTGCGGTGCAATGAAAATAGCAATGAGCTTATCTCATGTTACCAAGTC